TGATCCTGGAGTCCCGGGATCGAGTCCCGCATCGGGCTCCCTGCTCAGCGGGGAGTCTGCTTCTCCCTCTGACCCTCCCCCCTCTCATATGCTCTCTCATTCTCTCTCTCTCAAATAAATAAATAAAATCTTTAAAAAATAAAAAATAAAATAAGCAAATAGGGGGGCACCCAGATGGCTCAGTCGTTAAGCGTCTGCCTTCAGTTCAGGTCATGATCCCAGGCTCCTGGGATCGAGCCCCGCATCGGGCTCCCTGCTCAGCGGGGAGTCTGCTTCTCCCTCTCCCACTCCCCCTGCTTGTGTTCCCTCTCTCGCTGTCTCCCTCTGTCAAAAAAATAAATAAATCTTGAAAAAAAATAAATAAAATAAGCAAATAGGGAAGAAAGAGAGTGAGAGGAAATTGTGCACCTAACTATTTCCTCTGCCTTTTCTTCTGAGTCCTCTAAAATAGTGGCTCAGGGGCGCCTGGGTGGCTCAGTTGTTAAGCATTTGCCTTCGGCTTGGGTCATGATCCCGGGGTCCTGGGATCGAGCCCAGCGTCGGGCTCCCTGCTCGGCGGGAAGCCTGCTTCTCCCTCTCCCACTCCCCCTGCTTGTATTCCCTCTCTCGCTGTCTCCCTCTCTGTCAAAAAATAAATAAAAAATCTTTAAAAGAAAGAAATAGTGGCTGAGACAGGGAGATGGATCCCATTTCATTGTTGTTTCCCACAACTTGCTCACGGGAAGCCATTGCATTATCTTACCACTTTCCCCAGACTACTTTATACCTCCTTATTGGCCCCTTCTGTTGCTTTATCCCAGAAAATCCACCTTAGTTCCTTATCTCTGTCCCTGTATAGATCACAAGTTTTACAATTTACCGTCCTTGTTATTAGACTAATTTATATACTTTATTTAGTCAGATTAGGTGGATCACTTAATGGCTGCACATTTGGGGGGGAATTTAGTATGCAAAGCAAGGGTGAATTTCTCTAACACTATATATATATAAGTTGATACACTCTGCTGTTTGAACATCAGGAAACTGCAATCAAATATATGACTGATGGATGTTTACTGAAACATATTTTGGGAGATCCAAATCTTACCAAGTTCAGTGTCATCATTTTAGATGAAGCCCATGAGAGGACTCTAACTACAGTGAGTATTTTAATATGCTGGTTGTTTATTAGTTTACTTATTTGGGGTAGCTTTTACCCTGTAGAGAATTGCTTGGTCTTACTTACATTTTATTCTATTGAAATAGGAATTCTTTGGTTAGGAAAGCAAGATATTTAAAATAAGTTGGTTGGTAGGTGTACTCGTGACTTATTAGAAATTTACTTTTTTTTCAGGACATCTTATTTGGTTTATTGAAGAAGTTATTTCAGGAGAAGTCTCCTAATAGGAAGGAACATTTGAAAGTTGTGGTGATGTCAGCAACTATGGAATTAGCCAAGCTCTCTACATTCTTTGGAAATTGTCCAATATTTGATATACCTGGAAGGCTTTATCCAGTCAGAGAAAAGTTCTGCAATTTGATTGGCCCACGAGACAGAGAAAATACTGCATATATTCAAGCGGTATTACTTGGCATCCTTTTTGTGTCTTTTTTTATATTTATGATTCTAGTTGATTGAGTAGTTCAGTAATTTGTTTGTTCCCTTTTATTTTAATGGCGGCCCTTATAGGTCCTAGAAGTTTCGAGAACCAAATTTAATTTTTCTGTGGAATAAGGGGAGGTGGTTGGGAGTGGGGGACTATTTCCATCAGCATATTATGCTTGTGTTTCTTGCTTTAGATTGTTAAAGTGACCATGGATATCCATTTGAATGAAATGGCTGGAGACATCTTGGTTTTTCTGACTGGTGAGCATTCAGTATCAGGTTTAAAAATTTTACTACTTATATAAGAGCAGAGTGTGGCATCACAGTAGTGTTACTTTTGTTGGAAAAACTGGGCTTTAACTCATATTGCCTTAGCTTTGTATGATTATCTGAAAGTTTTAGATATTCTATTTTATTTAAGATATATAAGATAATTCTATACTGCCATAAAAACTGCCAGTCTCATGAGTAAACATATGTAAAACACACTGACCTTTTAGTAAAAAGATATTAAATGGTAAAGTATTAATATTTTATTAGCCTATCTTATATAGAGCTGTTACCATACCAAACAGTCCTGGATCTGAATGATTAATTCCATTATTTCAAAAGACATCTTACTAATTCATTTCTTCTTTGAGTGGTGGGATGGTACTGTGTGATAGCAGTACATAAGGTGTTGAATCCGTGTCTCATAGACAGGCCTTTTTTGGAAGTCAAAAATAGATTAAATCCTAAACTAGTGTGATTCTTCAATTAGCAGCATCCTACTAACAGAAATGAGTCATTTTATCGCTCACCTCCTACTCTGCCTTGTACTGATGTCAGAAGTGAGACATTGTAATGGTCTCTGCCTTTTTCCGGTTACTTAAGTATTTTGAAATACACCTAAATGCAGTATCTCCTGGACTAGATTCTTCTATATTAATGATTAACTTTACTGAGTCTTCCTCAAATACTGTGTTAACAAGATGATAGGCTTGAAGATTATAAACATTTTTATTCCTGTAGAGGTTTAAATTCCTTGGAAACTCGTGTTCTATTTTCAATTCTATTGTTGAGATTTGGTTCAATTTATGTGTTCATCTTCTTTAGATCAAATGAGATTGAAAATAGCTATTATGCAAAAATAATCCAGAAGACTTCTCTTTTTTTCATTCTTAAATTAATTTTGCTGTTCAGTTGCTGACATTATTTTCCCTCCCTCATTTCAGGTCAGTTTGAAATTGAAAAAAGTTGTGAGTTACTTTTTCAGATGGCAGAGTCTGTTGATTATGATTATGATGTTCAAGATACAACTCTGGATGGTTTGTTAATATTGCCATGTTATGGATCTATGACAACAGGTAATTCCTCACTAGAATAGAAAATTTGACTAATTTTTTAAAAAAAATATTGAATAATTACATACGTACAGAGTAGTATACAGATCCTAAGCGTTTAGGTCAGTTAATTTTACGAACAACTCATTTTATAACCAACACCCAGGTCATGAAATAGAACTTTAAGGGAACCAGCATTCCTTGAGAGAAGTGATTTTTTTCTCAAAGTCTTTTCATACTCACTTTTTCAGGAGCCTTGGACCACCCCCCCCACCTTGATATTGTTTAAGAGTGGGCTGTGTCCTCTCCCAGCAGAACAAAAATATTGTTGGTAATTTTTTGAAATTAGGACTATAATTTCTTGATAGTAGTACCATAAATCAAACCTAATTTAGTATTGCCAAAGAATTTCTAGAGATCATATACATCCAGGTACATCTGAGACTAAACATAGTGGGTTGTTTTCTTTTGAAGTAGCACACAGTCTGCTTTTCAAGAATGATGCTGTTCTTTTGTAATTTCCAAGAGCAAATGCAAACTCTTATTCTGTTATTTGTTCATAATAAATATTGTTGAATTAGGTTTAGAATTTGTTTAGTAAAACTACTTTATTATGGAATTTGATATGTAAAAAAGGGAAGCTATTTAGAGTTTGATTGTGATTAGCATTAAATATGTAAAAAACATTTGAATGTTTTTATATATATATTTTTTATGTTTTTATATTTTATATGTATTTTTGTTTTTGTTCAGTAGGTGGTTCTTAATCTTATGTTAACAAAAAAAGTTAGGAATATGTTTTGGTAAATAACCATAGACCATGTGCTATTTTAGAAATCTCTTTTGTGATGGTGGCCCTTGCCCTCCATATGGAAATCTGTTTTTAGGTTTTTGTATCTTTAAGGGAATTCTTAGGGTCTTTATTAGATATTTAAGGTTTTCATTGTTTTCTGGAGATTTGATCCGCTGGCTCCTTTAAATTTATTTTGTTTACTGCTGAGGTAATTCAAAACTCATTAGAGTTGCTTTGTTATTAACCATTAACAATATAAATTTTTTTTCTATATAAGTAATTTCATTCTTTCCTTTGTTACTGTCACATTGAAAATAGCATGCTGAGTCTGCTATTGCATCTTGTTTAATGGCCTGAAATACAGTTTTTATACTATTAAAGGTTGTGAATGACCTCCTATTTCTCAAATCTCATGGCTTTTTTTTCATTAGTTTGTATTTTGATTTTGTGATAATAATAAGTCTCCTTGAAATGCTGTCATCTGGGATAATACTTAATTACCTGGTTCTCCTGACCACTCTTTCTCTAAGTGTGCTGCCCTCCCACCCTTCCCAGCCTTTGTTCCTCTCTAAATGTGACTATTTTTTAAGGTTTTATCCTTAGCTTGCTGTTTTCTTAGAGTTCTCTGTTTTGGAGAGGTTGACTATCTCTAGTTAAGTCTCACTCCTGCATTCTGGAATTCCTGGATCTTCTCACAGGGCTTTCTAGTCTGTGTATCATGTCATCCTAGCTCATTCAGTCCAAATAAGTGACAACTCCTACAGGTTGGTTTGTTTTTTTTTTTAAATCTTGTCCAGATCATTCATTCTTCTTTTTCGTTTTTCATTGTCATCATTAGAGTTGGGATCCTCAATTTGCTTTCCTGAGTTGTTAACATAACCTGCTAACCTATTTTCCCTGATGTAATTTACCATCCTACCTGCAGTGGTAAGCATCATCCTTCAAAAGCACAGCTCTGTATCATTTTCCTGTTGGGTATCTCAGCCATTCCTTATTACCAGCTAAATTAAAATGCTAACTTAATAACTTGGCATTCATTATCCTTCCAGTGTGATTTCAGCCTGGTTTCAGCCTTAATTCCCAGGGTATGAGATTTTCTGTGTTGGCGTGTATGTGTGAATGGTAAAGATGTAGAGCTGCCTGTCAGTAGAGCCATTACTGAAGGGTTTTGTTTATTTTAGTTTCCCTTCTGGTTCCAAGGGCACTCTAAGGGCAAGCTGCTGGTGATCTATTATGAGCATAATAATATTTATGGGAGCAATTTCTAACAATGCAAAGAGGCATTCAGATGGAGCTGATGAGGTACTGAGTAATGGGTGAGGTGAAGTTGTGAGTGGCAGGTTCCTGGGATCTTAGGCTTTTTTTTTTTTTAAGTCTGGCTAATAGAATATGGCACTTATTTTTTTATTATTGCTACTTCGGGTGGTGGGGAGAAACACTATTAAAATGTTATTTCCTTTATTTCCTATTATGTCTTAGGAACATAAAGCTTATGCTTGGGAGTGAGGAGAGGGAAGAAGGGTTTCCTGCTTGTAGCCTGTTGTGAGGAGGGTTCAAAAATGACTCAGATCTAGGTTTAGTGAAAAGTGAAGATTATGAGGTGGATATGTTGTATTTGCTTTTATTTCTGGGCTAGCAATGAGGGTGGCTGATTGTTTTAAAGGGACATCTTAAGATACCTCCCTAATTGACAAAAAATTCTCAACTGTGAAATGTGAAGAGGTGCTGTGGTATCCCTTCTATTGCCAAGATTATATGATCCCACTCCCTGGGCTGAACTCTAACCCCCACCCTTTGAAGTGTTTCTCTCAAGCTCAAAGTGTAGGCAGTATTTTTTATTCCATTTCCTTCTGCATCTTTTTTGTGACAGCATTTGATATTTCCCTTCACTTGAACTCCTCCTTTTCCCTTTTATTCTCTCCTCTTACTGGCTGAAATCTTGCTGTTTTGTTTCACGAGTGCAACCACCTCGATAAAAACCTTCCCTGATTTCCCACCTCACAACTGACTTTGATCTCTTCTTTGTTTATACCTCTTGTGGCACTGAGCACATTCTCCCTTGCGTTATGGTTGCCTCATCTCCTTTCTGAAATTGTGAACTACTTGAGTATTATGTGTTGAAAAAGTCCTGATTAGATGTTTGTTAAAATGAGTTCCAGATTTTTCACTTTCTGCTAGACATTATGTTATATCTTGTATGAAAACTGTCTAGAACCTTATTCTTGTTTCCCTCGAACCTTTTTGCTCTTCTGACTTCCCTCTTTTGTTCAAGATTTTGCAATTCTTCGGGTTTACTGAAATATACCTGTTACTTCATAAGCAACAAATATTTGCATGGAATTTGACTATTTTAGCACTATAAGTAATTATCGAAATTCAGTGCTGCTTAGCCTTTTTAGAGGGTGGAATCTGAGATTCTTTTTAAAAGATAATGAAAGCCATGGTTTCTTTCTCTAGAAAAATGCACATATACCCATAAATATTTTTCTTGCATAATCAGACTTCTTTATTGAACAGATAGAGACTAAGTGATGTTCCTGAGGTCACATGGTAAACCTGCATTTGGTAACTGGTTATCCATTCAGTAGGGGGTGAAAAAATAGTACATGTGTTTTCAGAATACCTGAAGAAAAGGAAAGGAGCTTTACCTTGGATTAGTGCAAGTTTCTCTCAAGCTCAAAGTGTAGGCAGTATTTTTTATTACATTTCCTTTTTTATTTCCAGTATTTTAAAAGAGGAAAACTGCACATTTAGATTATTGCATTAATCTAAAAGTAGTTTTCTTTCTTTCTTTTTCCTGCAAAACAAAGACATTATCTCACTTTGGCAAGTACCTAGAATTTGGCTATGTCTGTGATAATTTCCTTAAATGTTAAGATTAAAGATGAGGGGGGAATAAGGCTAATGAGCTTCATATAAAAACTTTTACTCTAGGGGCGCCTGGGTGGCTCAGTTGGTTAAGCGACTGCCTTCAGCTCAGGTCATGAGCCTGGAGTCCCAGGATCGAGCCCCGCATCGGGCTCCCTGCTCAGCAGGGAGTCTGCTTCTCCTTCTGATCCTCCCCCCTCTCATGCTCTCTCTATCTCATTCTCTCAAATAAATAAATAAATAAAATCTTTAAAAAAAAAAAAAAACTTTTACTCTCTCCAAATGGGAAAATTTTTCTTTTGTCTTACAAAGCAGACATAGTTGTAAAGAGTACATAGTTGTAGAGTATGTAGTTGTAAAATATAATCAGAAAAGTAAGAAAGATAATTAAACTTAGATATCACCAACATGGTTAAGTGATAATCACTATTAATATTCTGAGGTGTATTCTAAACTTTTTAAATATATTTAAATATATTTTTAACATAAATATATTTTTATTGTTTAGCTTTTTTTAACAAAAAATTGCATTTTGTTATATATGTTCTTTAATGTTTTTTCCTTTAGCCTTTTGTAGAAATTTTTAAAGTGTAGAAAAGTACAAAAACAATCCATTTCCCACTGTGCAGAATTAACACACTCTCAGTGTCTTCACATTTTTGCTCCAGTTTTCCTTTAAGAAAAACTATTCAATTAAGGAAAAATGATAACAGTTTCATTATAAAGAATTTAAGCAGTGTCCAAAGTTACAAAGGTAAAAGTAAAGAAATCACCTCAAGTTCCTCCATATAAAAATAACCAGCTCTCTGTGTGTGTGTGTGTGTGTGTGTGTGTACATATAGAAGGATAAGGAAGTAAACAGGTGGGTTGATAGAAATACTTTTTAAAGTGAGATTATACTATTAGTTGCTTTTTAAAAAAGTATGTAATTTTATGTGAATGTACTTGAAGGAATTGTTAAACGTCAAGTAACTTTCTTTACCACATGAGAATATGATATAAAAGGTTGCTGTCAAGTCTAAAAAGATGAAAAATTTTAAGAAGTTGAAGTTAATCTCTTCTTTTTAGACCATGTGTGATTGGAGATCTTATCTAAGCTGATTCTCTGATTTGAAAGATAAGGACTTAAATACTTCGACTCTTCTGTATCTTTCCCTTCTGATTTTTGTTAGTTATTTTTACATTGTTTAGATGTTTATCATCAATCCTTTTACCATGGCTTTTCCATTCTTAAGTTACTTTTGGTTAATTTTCGATTGCCTGGGTTTTGTTAACTTTTTTTTTCCAATAGAAGGGCTCTTGATTGTTACTTTTTGTTTTTACTCTTTTATGTTTGAGAATGTCTTGCTTTTGCCTTTATACTTGAACTATGTCG